AATTGTGTGTGCGCTCTCTCTCTCTCTCTCTCTCTCTCTCTTTCTCTTTCTCTCTCTCTTTCTATCTTGCTCTCTCACTCAATTGCGCTGCACCTTTCATTTGTCTACCGGTCGAATGGTTACGATAATCACAACAACAACAACCATCACACCACACCCAAACACTAACATCTAATCCACATCCACGCCACACGCGCGCAGATTCAGCTCGGGAGACTTGTCTTCCGAGGTCGACGATGTCGATCCCAATAGCTTGCCGCCAGCTGCGCGTCCTATTCAGGACCAGCCAACGAAGCCGCCTGTGGCCGGAGGCCCACCCAACATGCCGCCGCCGCCGGCACCGGGCCAACTGCCGCCGCAGCCCGCCGGCGCCGCTCCGGAGCTGTCGCTGAGCTTTGGCGCTGGCAAGGCACCGCCGACAGCGGCTCCGGCTCCGCCACGTGGCGTGAGCGCGCCCACCAGCCCGGCCAAGTCGCGCGAGAGTCTCTTGCAGCGCGTGCAGAGCTTGACGGGCGCCGCACGAGATCAGGGCGCTTCCATATTGGGTATGCTATGGCTAGACAATAGATTAAATGTGAAACCAGGAACGGCTATCGTCGGACTGCCGACGATATACTTACAATCGCTAGATATATACAGAAGTTAGGTAAACACAAACTGAGAATCTGAATTGGTAAATGTTCAAGGATGATAGTTTATCAAATTATTTATGCCATATAATTATTATCGGTTAGTCGTAAGCTACTTTACTATATATATATAGAAGTTAAATGCCGGAATATACTATCGTTAGATATACATATACAGAAAAGAAATGTGAGAATCTGAAATGGTGAATGCTCAAGGATGATAGCTTATATAATTATATCCCATTTATTCCTTATTCAAGAAGTCCCTATTAGTAGTTGAAAAGGAATCGAATAACAATTACTATTACAACTTCTTGAAGGCAATACCTATATGTATATTTGCCGGCTAGTCTTATACTACTCATAATTTGATATGATACGAATATATACGTATTGCCCTCAAGCAATTATAATAATAATTTTCGACGAATTCCCTGCCGTGTCGCAGAAAGTAAAAATATCTTAAATCCCATATGGGGATGACAGCCATGCAAACGTATGCCAGCAGCGGAGTAAGTGCGATACGCCCACTGTTTCACCTGCAGAGTGTCAGCAGAGGCTTTCAGCTTGTCGCTACCAATTTGTTCACTATCCGAGTGCACTTTCCCTGTCGGTTTCCCCTTTCGTATTTGGCTCAGCATCAGGCAACTTTTCTCCCATGCTGAGAGCGCCAACTCTGCGTAAGCCACAATGCTCCGACGATGCTACCACAAGGGATTATCTGAAGCGCAATGAGAGCGCTTGGAGCACTCTCAGCCTGTAACACAGAGCTTAAAGGATCTGTATACCCTGGCTGTTCTGCTCTGTTAAGTATGAGCGCTATAGTCATCTCATCAGTCATAGCAGACTTTTAATACGAATACTATTTATTAAATTAAATCTATTTATTTGACTAAAATATTCCATATCTCAAAATTGATTTATGTTGTATCCTTAACTAATGATCAGTTAGGTTTTGTGAATTATAAGCGATTCTTATATACATATATACTAAATTGTACAGAAATGTGTACATATATTTCAAAATCTAAAAGTCTATTTATGCATGTGTTTTAGTATTAATAGTGCTAACAGTAGGAAATACCCTCACTTTATGTATGAAGTTGATCTTCAAAGCCTTATTCTGATGTCTTCAAGTGGACTTCGGGAAATCACGACTAAAACCAACTACTACTACTAAAAGGCGTATTTATTCGAAATCGATCTTTAAAGAGTATGTGCATTGTTAATTCGAACAGGGTTATTTATGGTATTTATACAGCTGTATATTAAAGATTAAACATGTTTTCATATAGATATTTAGCTTTTAATAGTAACCTCATAAAAAATTGAGTAATAGGATTATTCAATTTTTAATATATGAAGAGTGACTGTAACAGAAATGCCAAATGATAGCGATTAGACTAGATTAATGATTGATGGCATAACTATTGATGATTGTGAAGTAGAAATTTGAATTGATGGTCGGTAATCGTCGCCTATGTCGTCTATGCCAAACACAAATTCAAGGTCAACCTACAGTACACTCACCACGAGTATTAATAAATCATTTACTCGTCAATCGTGTCATGTTTCATAAAATTAGTTAAATCATTAACAACACGTCAAGAATTTATGACAATGATTTGTGATGTATCAGAAATATACTTAAATTTACAGCTCCATAGCTGTCTTCCTAATGGTATGAAGTATTTCAGTTCAGATAAGCATTGAAGTAGTGAGATCTTCTCGAAACTTGGCGAAATTGTAGACGAAATGGACGCGAAAATCAACTGAATGCCGTCCTGTTTGGAAAATAAATCGAAATGAAACTATTTGCTAATCCCTTTCTACGCTTGCCACACTCCACCCACAGGAGCTGCGGTCCAGAGTGCCACTCAGCGGGCGCCCGCCTTCAACAAGGACAGATATTTCACGCTGCTGGTGCTGGATGATCAGAACACGGACTGGTCCAAGTACTTCCGTGGCCGGCGCTTGCACGGCGACTTCGACATACGCGTGGAGCAGGCGGAGTTCCGAGTAAGCTAGCGTCACACTAACACCATTGTGCACCCTCTCTATTATCTGCTGTGCATCCGCAGGACATCACCGTCGTCTCCAGCGCCGACACCGGACCGGTCGTCACCATGGCCGCCTATCGCAGCGGCACCCGGGTGAGTTGCAGCCCCTCCTCGGAGCCATCCTGCTTGCTCTTAATTAGTGCAACGCTCCTCTATAGAGGATAGATGACAGAGGACAGAGCGCGCTCCCATTCCCTGTGTGTCCTGTCCAGTTGTTAGCCGCCTGTTTATTTGCAGCCTTGTTATATTTGTTTTTATTACCCTCGCACTTCAGTGGTAGTAAGGGTCTGGCTGACGCCGCCAGCTATAGATTGCATCGGGCACGCATTCAATTTATTTCCTAGCTAAAGGACACTCGAGTGCTTTGCTTATCAACGCTTTTCTACTCAGAGGTGTTTACTTATCTTCCAGCACTTCTGCTGTGGCCACCATTGAAGAGTAATCAAATCGCAAGTGCCTTACCCATGACCTACTTACTGCATACTGCATTTATAGTTTATACTGTGACTTATTTGCCCGTTAAGTTAGTTGATGCGTAAGCACCGGATACTTGTAGCCAGCTATAAAGAAAGTACATATAATAATAAAAATAAATCTCTTTCAATTCAAAATGAAGCTTAAGGACCTCACAGTACATATGCCATATAAAGTTATTTCATAGTTTGCGCTTAGTTTCTATTATTTTGTGTTCAAGTTGTGTAGATTGGATCAATCTGAGCTAAGCCAAGTTTTTGACCATATTCAATAATTTCACTGGATATCCGAATAAATTTTCAATATAACATGTATTTTCACCACAAGTATTTGTTGAGTGATCCCAAAAGTATGCAGCACAAATATTGAACAACGAATTTAGGTTTACCAAAGTTACAAACCTTATATTATTGCAGTCAATCGCTAATTTATCCGAATTATTATCCGGCATCCAAATCAAAGGCAAATAAATCATTATACGTGATAAATTGCTTTAAATAACACTCTTATATTGCCTAAAACAAAAATGCCTAATTTTATAAGCTATATATTAATATATTCGCCAAAACTTTGTATGGCTTTAATAAATCAAAAAATTTAATAATTGAACACCAAAGTGTCTGAATTTATATCGAGTAAATATTTTTAAGCTTCATCAAGCTATTTATTGTCTCAGCACAAAAGTATGCAATAAAATAAATAGTTATCCAAAATCTCTGCACTAAAGCCAAATGTCAAACCTTATACCAAAATCAAAAAGTATCCATGAGAAGTCTGAAATATCATATAAGCCTAGCACTTACTGATCCGAATGTGTATTCCGTATCCAAAGTATCCAAGTCACTTCATTTATTCTCACCAAATGTATTTGTTTGCTCAGCTGAAAAGTATGCAGTAAAAAGTATGAATCGACAACTCTTGAATTGATGCATAGCATATGGAACGTGATAAAATTATCCGAATGCTTACGTGACAGCGGGATGTGGGCAGCACGTAATTCTGTGCGTGTGTGTGTGCATATTACGACTGAGTTGACAGTCACATATAATTACGAAGCATATATGTATGTTTGTATGTAGCTTGATTATATGTGCATGCATCGTTGCAATTTCTGTGCTGCAATTAAGTGACGCCTTTGTAGGGCATTTAAAGTAAAAGAGTGTTTAAGTTCAATTTAACGTAAGCTGCTAATGCTTTAAACTTGTGATTCTCATATTTATTTATGCCACTTTGCGTTCAATTAGTTAAGACTCAGCTAAAAATAAAAATATTGTAATCCGCTCTTCATACATATGTATGTATGTGTTTCTAATGTAACTTTGGAATATCACACACCAAAACAACTCAAATTAATAATAAGAATAATAATAATATTTATAAACATAAAAAAAAAACTACAAATACAGGTTGCCCGTTCTTTTCGGCCGGATTTCGTGTTGATACGCCAACCGCCGCGCGATGGCTCCAGCGACTTCCGCTCGACCATTTTGGGCCTCAAGTACGGCGGAGTGCCCAGCATTAATTCTCTGCACTCCATCTACCAATTCCAGGTGAGTTGCAAGAGGACCTCTTCTCAGCATTGACTTGGCCTTTGCTTATGTGTTTTCTGTTTCCTTTCGAATAGGATAAGCCATGGGTGTTCGCGCATCTGCTGCAGCTGCAGCGGCGCCTGGGACGCGACGGCTTCCCGCTGATCGAGCAGACATTCTTCCCGAATCCGCGTGATTTGGTAAGTGTATTAAAGATTAAGTGCTAATTACTAATTAAGTTAAGTAGCTACATCGAATCGTGGTCACATCTAAAAGCCATCCATTAATAAATAACACATTAATCATAGCGTACGAATTAAAGCTCTACACAATTATAAACTCGAGTATAAAATTAAAATTAAAAAAATCTGTTGCATAACAAAAGCCATTCCACGGCCAGATCCAGCTCCAGCTCCAGCCCCTGGTGAACGTCCTACGGATAGCTCAGACACTTTTTGTAGAGCAGCGTGCGCCTCCAGCGGCAGTACTGAACCTCGCCCACAGCCGTTTGCCTCTTGTGCAGCACGCAGGAGGAATAGTCGCGCTTGCACTTGTCATGCATCGACCACGAGCAGCTGTCCGCGCTCTCCCGCTGCCAGGGGCACTGCTGCTTGTAGCACGTGTTGATCTGTGGGTGGATTTAAAGGGGATGTGATTGCAGCTGAGGGTCGACAGTTCACTCGATCCCACTTACTGTGCAGTTGCAGGCGGTGCCGTAGGCGCCGCTGAAGCCGCGCCGCTCGCTGATCGTCATGTTGATGTACTCCTTGTAGTAGCTGCACAGATTCAGCTGCGGCATTCGGCCGGCTATGATGTATATCTTGCCGAGCTCCAGCTTGATGGCGCACATGGAGTCGCTGCTCGGCGAGGACAAGCGACCGTCGCGCAGCATGCGACGAGCTTCAGGTGTGGCCTAAAGGGAAATAAGATAGGATGAGCTCTGATAAGGGCACTGCCCAATGGCATTGGCAGTGGCAATGGCGAGTGCTTACCTTGTAGATGCGCTTTATCTGCACCTTGTACACCGTCTGGTACTTCTGGAGGGTTTCCGATTTGCGGAGAACGCGCAGCTGCACCACTGCAAGGCAATGCTGGCATTTAGATTAAATTCGCCAGGGACACGCACACTCACTTCCACTCACCATAATCAGCGTTGCAGTAATGCTTCTGTGGGTGCGCGAGCTCGCACACGCAGGCATCTGTGGAGTGGCCATAAAACGCCAGCACCGCGACCAGAGCGAGCGCCAATAAACTCAAATGTTTGGTTAACTCCATGGCGCCGTTATAGCTGCGCGAATCCAATCCCTATTTGTCGCCCTGCCAACAGCGAATCGGGTCGTCGTGAAGCTGAAGAGAAATGTGATTGCATTTGATTACGATGAAGATGTAATGTTTGCAGTAACCCAAAGCCCCTGCTGAAGGTCACTCGGTGCTAAGTGTGTCTTGCTTATGCCATCGGCTTATCTGTGAAGCGTGCTGCCACGCATCAGCTTCAACCTCAGCCTCAGACTCGGACTGGGACTGGGACTCACACTCAGACATCCATCAAGGCGCTGTCAAGTGTCACATATTACGTATACGCCCAGAGGTACAAACAATTAATACATCCCTCTCTCTCTCTCTTTCTCTCTGTCTTTCCCTCACACGCATGCCACACGCATTGTTATCGCTGCTTGCATTATTTATTTGCTGAGCAGTACATTTACTCTGGCAGCCACTGTGAGCATTTGCATATGCACTTCAAGCTGCGTGTGAAATAGATTTCTATTTCTATTTGAGAGAGAAATTCCATTTTCATTGGTTTGGCCATTTGATTTCAATTTAGTGTCGCTGCTGCTCTCCTCTATGATGTGCAATCGATTTGGCTGCACGCATAAATCCTATCGAGCTGAAGCGGACTGTACGAAGGAAAAGTAGTTCAATTGCCAGCCAAATGCATTCCATTTAGCATTGTTTATGGTAAATTCATAGAAAACTTGAGGCGAATAACTCGTAATCCATTGCAACGCTGCCGACGCCGATGGCGATGCCTATGCCTATGCCGTGCACATATATCAACGCGAAAATATTGTATAATATCGAGAGCGGAGCGAAATAATCAGTCGCCGTCGCCGTCGCCATTGCAGTCCCATTCCCATTCCCAGTTCCCAGTCAGCGTGTTGAACTGATCGACAGAGATAGGCAGGCCCATATAGACAAACATATGCATTGGCTATGCCGACTGCGGCTGTAGCTGGGGCGACTCGGCAATGTGGCAATTAAATTGAAATAAAATTGAATTAAAAGCATTTTGCGGAAAAGCCACTAGAAGCAGCAGCGAGTAGACAAAAGGGGGCGCCGAGTCGATTGCCTTATTGATTGAATGCAAGCAGAAATAATGCATCAAACTATTTATTAAGTGGCAGCCCAAAGTGCCAGCCAGACAGACGGACGCCGCGGCTAATGGGCGCTGCGAAGCCTTTGTCAAATCCAGATCTGTGTCGTAACATGACTGGGGATATTCTTGGAAAGTTCTTCATGAAATGAAGGCCCCCTCTCTAGCTCCCTCTCCCTCTCCCTCTCCCCCTCTCGGCAGTGTTTGTGTTGGGCATTGTTCGTGTCTTGTCGGTCTGGATTTGACACTTGTGCTGGCAATTAACGGCCTGGATTTGTTTAACAAACAGCCAACAAGACAACAAATAAGCACACACAAAACTGGCACGTACACACACACACACACACACACATACGTTTAGCAACTAAATCAACTTCAATGGAAAACAAGAAAAACTTTTTACACTCGCTGCAAATTCGCACGATTTCCTTTCAGTTTTCCACGATAGCCGCCGATCAGTAGTGGCAGCCGCAATTAGCATGGCCATATATCACGCAGCCATACATTTTAAGGTGGGTTCGTGGCTGATGTGGAGAGGGGGCGGCGGGTGGGGAACGACGCGTGTGTGGGTGCCTACAGCTGAAGCTGGGGTAGATGGGGCCAACAGCTAGTGATGCCAGAGGCAGCCGTGCTTTGTTGACAAGCTCTATACATGTGTCAATTAAATGTTGTATATCATAGCACCACCACACTCACACACACACACACACACATTCATAGAATGTTGCTGACATGAGCATGTATGCATAAACACTTATGGACTGTTGCTTTGACGTCACATTCATAGTTGTTTGCCACACTTGTTGTTGTTGTTGTTGTTGTTGTATCGTCATCCACATAGAATTTGACATTTGACACTGAAACAGTCGGCAGTCGACGGCATCACTGAGTGTCACTTAGCTATGCGGGCCGCCAACAACAACAGTTTCGAAATACGCACGCATTCAGAGCGATATATTCAGATATATGGAGTCAAATATCGACATGACTTTAATTAGCATTGATTTCCACTTTGCCCTCAGGCCATTTAAATGAGACCAGCCGCAGCAATGAGAGCAAAGAAAGTGCCTAACAGACACACTCACACACATGCAGCTGACATACATATATATACATATATGTATATGCACACGTATATATGTCAAATTGGTGTCGCACAACGGCCAAGATAAACGATCGCAGTTAAAGACGAGATAAGATACAGACATCTTGAGACTGCAGATACACAATAATTCTCAGGTTGCGACCGTATTTACTCCGTTTAAGACACATCATCTGAAGGGAATGAGAAATTATCTTCAAATGCCAAAGAATGATTAAGAGTGACGTTTCGTTGGCTTATTTAATTAGCTGTCGACTGACAACTGCGACAATATTGAATAAACTCATTTGATGCAATCGTGTATATGCATGCAAAGTGAGTCAATTAGAATGAGTTTTAGGCATAAGGTAGCAAGTAGATGACCTTAAGCATATTTGCTCTGAACAAAGCAGAACGCAAGTTGATAATTCTGCGTTATATGTGAGCTGTTAAAATTCAAATTATTTTGAGATGTTTTTATATGTAAACCTATATATTTATCCTATATCAAGCTCTGTGGCTGTCATTGTGTATATATATCTATCTATTCTATAACTAGATTCTTTCTTTATCCTTTAAATTATCAATGGAATTTTATTTAGTTCAATTGAAATGAACTTTGCCCATATAAAATGAAAATCTTTTATACGAATCTTATAGGAATCAAATAAATCTCGAGACGCAAGCTGATGATATATTAGGAAGTGTTAAGAATGAAAACTAAAACTTGAACATACATAGGTTTCCATTGAAGCTAGTGACTTGAGTTTTGAAGGAAATACTTGTGGGCATTGCAGCCTTGTAAATTGTTGAGACTTTCCCCATATGTCCTATAGGGGTATATCCGGTAGAAACGATGTTATTTAAAGTACGAGAGACTTGAAATTTGTACAACGCAGGCCAGACAAGATCAAGAAGATATAGTGGATATTGGGAGTGTGGGAAAGGTGAACAAGCTACGTAAAGTATAATCAGATTATAACGTCGCTCAAGGAATCGTCGTTATAACCGGAAGACGCTATTGCCATATAAGTTTACTCTATAAGTTTGTCTGGTGACCAGAATTTTCGTCGCAATAACCGTGTGGACACAATAAGCGGAGTCGCTATAACCGGATTCTCTTTGCAATATGGGACAATACAGGTAGTGCAGCCTCCTTTATGAAGTAAGTTTCAACTGTTGATGAACTCAGTTGGTAAAGCCTAGCATCAACAGTTTTACTTGTTTCCAACTTTGCTAAAATTCCTTTTGTGTGAACAATTTCGTCAAAAGATTTTATTTATTATTTTAGTTTACAGCTAAAAAATAATCACGAGATTTGAGTGCATTTATCTGGAATTTTCCAGTTAATGCCTTTTTATCTAATTGCGAAACTAAAAGTAATATATAATAGTTAATTATTTACTGTTATTATATTTGCATTTGCGATAGTATTCCGTTATTCTGTCTGCCATCTGTTGGGCGAACGTGAGCGGATTAAATTGCAATTTATGTGTGGCTCTCATTACACGACTGGCCGACGGGTTACCTGGAATACTCGGAATGCTCGGAATAGTTATCATAGGTCATAATTTACTTCGACGAGGTTGGCTGGCCGACTCAAAGACTTAGAGCGAACTCTAAGCCAATGCAAATGCATATTTATTTGGAAATAAAAACAGCCGCAAACAACGTGGACAGGTGACGCAGTAAGGAACTGATTTATATATTTCTATATAGTACAAAAGGCGCCACAGATTTGAATTATGTAAATATGCATACAGATTATTAACACTTGGCGCCCCAGAAGGGCGGCCTTCCAGGTAAACGGTTTGTGGCTTAACGAAGCGTTGAAAAGGCCAAAACCGAACAGGTTAAAGAGCAAAAAAAGGACGAAAAGCCGAAAGGCTTTGCCACAAAACCGCCTTCAAGCGACTGGGTTTTAGGCTTTTGGCTGGATTCGGATGCTGCCCTAAATGGCCTACGGAGCAAAGCCGCATAATTAATGCGCTTCGGCTTATCTGCGAGCTGGCTGGCTGGACTGTGGGGCGGTAGGGCTGTTGGGCTGGGTCGGTAGCAGGGCATAAAACTGGCCCGTAAATGGAACTGTGGAAAAGTTGTTTTTATGAGCGCCTAATTGAGTCATAAAACTGCGCTAATGCCTGCATAATGCACGGCACACAAAATATTGACATGTTGCGCCACTTGTGGCACACAATCGCTCGACCTCTCCCGCCCGATGGCCCCGGTGCAGCGCGCCGCATGTAAATAAGCTGACGACAACAATTTTCGCGCCTGCCTCGAAAAAAAATAAATCAATGCACATAAAACTCAACCACAATCGACTCGAAATAAAAGCCACAAAAATTTAATTTGTTTCGTTTGGTTTTCTGTTTCATTTTATACGCCGCGTCGGTCATTTACTTTTGGCTTCTCGCTTTCAGCTTCGCCGTTTTGTCACTCTCTCTGTCTATCTCTCTCCCTCTCTCTCTCTCCCTATGTGTGCTTGACTTTTATTGCTGATTGGCTTTCTAAACAATTCGCTGTTTGGGGAACGGCCAGCTATATAAATGCAGGCGCATGCAGAGAGATAATGTAATGTCAAGATATATTGCCAGCAGCGTCTGATCGAGAATGAATTGAAGCTCTTCAATTTGAATCTGACCTTCCTTTTAACACATTTACAAGATTTACACTCTACAGCAACTCGTAAATGCACTTGGCTAAATGCGCACATTGCGTTGCCATTTCCCCCATTCAAATTGCATTCTCAAACAATATTTATATGGCCTAAATATGGCGAGCTAATGTTTAGACAATGTTGAACAAATTCTTGTTTGAAAATTCCATTTTATGTATGATCCAAATCAAGAGTATGATACTATATTTATACCCTTTCATTTAAAGCAGTTT